TAAGCCAAATGAGTAATTCGATAGTGTAGTATCAATAATTAGGTTTTACTGAGATTTCCAGAGTGATAATACGAACTTTTCTCCAGTGAATTTTAGTGTGAGCACACCATTTCTTTGTTTCATGTTTCATATTTAATCTTTAAAAAAGAAAGCATGTCTGTATTTGGCATTCATTTCAATGCTGCTGATTGATGTGATGAGTTAGTTATTCAGCCATGAAATGTTACTGTTGTTTTGAACATAGCATAAAGGTCACCAAAATAATTTTACTTTTATAGTTGACTGTATATATTATTAAAACAATCTTAAAAATAAAAATTAACTGAAAATTTTCAGCAATTTTTTATGCATACATTATTGAATTACAGATTTTTTTTTTTGGTTGGTCATAGGTCTTGAACTCTGGGCCTGGATACTGTCCCTGAGCAATTCAGCTAAAGGCTAGCACTCTACCACTTGAGTCACAGCGCCACTTCCTGTTTTTGGTGGTTAATTAGAGATAAGAGTCTCTGGATGTTCCTGTCAGGGCCAACTCAGCTTCCTGAGTAGTTAGGCTTACAGATATGAGCCACTGGGGCCAGCAAGATGGTAAACTTATTTTATCATCAGATATTTAAAATGTACGAAGAAAATTGCCCAAAAATTAGGTTGATTAAATTACACGTCATTACTTCATAGTAAAAGTATGAGGAAAATGAAACAATTACTATATTATATTCACTAGTTTCATTGGGTAGATAGAAACCTATTCAAGCATGTTATACACAAAAGAAAGGATTAATGGGCCTTAAAAAAACCCCACAAATACCTTTATGAGTGTACAGTCTTTAAATTGCTTCATAATATCTAGCCCAGAAATTTAGTATTATGACAAGTTATTAAAATTATACCAATAGTGAGATGACATTTTCAGTGTCTACTACAAATAATTTTGTCATCAATTTTAGAACAGTTTTCCACAAATACCTAATAATTCCCTTGATTTCTGAAATACAAGACACAAGTGTGTTGTTTTATGTATATCACAGAAGGCAACTTGTGTATTTTTTTTTTACTATTTCTATATAAAGGCACATTGTTTCTATGTGACTAAAAAAAAGCATTAACAATGACAAAATTCATTTAAATCTCAAAATCATAGCAATTAGAGACTGTGATATCAAGTAAACATGCTATAGATTAATAAAAGATGAGAATATTGCCATAAAACAGTATTTTGGACCTATAAATGTATACTGTACTACTACATTAATTGCATTTTTATAAGAAGTTTAAATGTGTTCATGTGAATTGGTAACGTGTTTTTAATGTAAAAATGTTTTAATGTGGAAAAATGAATCATATTGTGCAATGAAGAATTGTAAAGGCATTTTTCCACGTTTTTCAAATAAATAATGTTAATCTTAATTCATGTTTGTTTAAAGTCTAACAAATCTGCAATCACAACTTATCATGCTGAATCAAGACATTCTAAATATATTGAACAATTTTTTCTACAAGGATAAGTTTTGGTGTGGGTTTTCAACAAGGTGTAACATATAAGGGTATTCTCTTTCTGCACATTTTGTAGATTAAATATTGTATTTTCTTCCCTTGCTAACAGGTTACACAATCATTTTATTTACTGCCTCAATTAAGATTGACTGCATGATAGTTACATCAGATGAGAAATTATCGTAACCTTTCTCAATCATAAAGGCCTTGTTTCCCTCTACTCATCTTCGTAAAAAAGCTTCTTGAAAGCATTTATGAGTAAAGACTAAATTTCTTGATACATGCAATCCTCAATTCATTTCTAATTTTTTTCTCAGCAACTTCAGCAAACCTTTCTGCAATATGGATATTTCACATGCTATTCAATTTAGTTCACAACACTCTGACTTTGAACCTCTTATTCTTGGTATTATGAACTGCTCCTAACTTCCAAGATAACATATTCAAGTATTCCTAAAAACTCGATAACACCTTATGCCTTTGGGACAGATAATGAGGCTTGTGTTTAGTTTCTTCATATTCACTGGAACTCAGTTCTTGACCTTACTTTCAGTAACTCAAAAAGCACTCCATTGATATTTATCCTGTACTACTCACTTTTCTAGCTTGGAGAAAACATAAATAAGTAACACAGAGAGCAACTCAGTGAGGAGTGTACACAAGCACACCTAATGTATATCCATTTAGTTATGTAGATGCAGTGTTCCTCTTCTACTGTGCTGTCACCTCAATACTCATATCTAACCAGCTATTTGGTATCAGATTTCACTGATGTCATACTTGGCATGCTGTTTTGTCTCTGTTACCTAACCCAAATTTTTTCCTCTTAGAAAATGCTTCATCTTGAAAAAGAAAACAAATGCTCACTCACTCAAGCAAGAATCCATTGTCTATTAAATACATTCTATTACACAGGCCATGTCGGTCTATTTACATTATGTACTGAAACTTATTAATATTTTTCCTTCTCTATATGCACACAGTTTGTCATTCCTTCTTATGAGCAAGAATAAAGTTTATAACAATTATTCGTGTAATTTGTCTGCTTACAATTGTTTCTTATCTCTTTTAAAATGTGTGCTAAATTTATTTAAATGTTTTGTAGAAGCTCTTAGTTTGAGTCAAAGGCTTCCCTTAGCTTTCTCTTTAGACACATACCTTCAAATTCTATTAATTTTTAACAATTTCTTAAAAAGTAGAAGCTATCCTGAATACAGAATATTCAATAGTAGGCTTAAAACTATTTTTTATGGCTTTTTAAAATTTTTTTTGGTCAGTTGTGAGGCCTGAACTCTGGCTCTGGGCGCTGTTCCTCAGCTCTTCAGTTGAAGCCTAGCAATCTACCACTTGAGCCACAGCACCACTTCCAGTTTTTATCTGCTTATGTGGTGCTGAGGAATCGAACCCAGGACCTCATGCATGCAAGGCAAGCAAGCACTCTACCACTGAGCCACTTCCGAGTCCCTAGCTTTTGTTTTGTCTATAAATTTATATTTTCATATTTTCCACTTCACAAAATATCAATCCCCCTTCTTTTTATATACATATACATTTTGTATATATTTATGTAACTCATTGTGGCAAAGTAATTGTGGCAAACTCATTTGTGGCAAACTCATTGTGTACTGTGTACGGATAAAGTCGGTGTATCTATGCTTTCCACTTCGTATTATGTCCGTCATTTTGTTTGTGTGTTTTTGGAACATTTAAGATCCTCTTATTTACTTTTTAAATTATATAATAAATAATAATTAACTATGTCCACATAGTGTGCTACTGAATATAGAGTTTATTCCTTCTATGTATCTTTATTTTATATTAATTTAAAAACTTTAATGTTTCAATACACAAAAAAAAAAACAAATTAAGGATTTAGGAGGATTGTGTGTACCTTTCAAATCATCTTTTGAATACCCTGAGGATGAAAATTATATTTATATTACATTTCTAATACTTAAACTGTACATGATTACCCCCAAAATAATGTATAGGTAGTTATTTTATTGCAAACTTACAGAAGAAAATTAATCAATAAATGACAGGATATGTATTATGAGATTTAGAATGAAGTTTAATCAAATTTAAGAATAAAATACTAAATGTTAAAAACCTCATAAAGTTTGGAAAACTCATGATAATGCAAGACATTTATGTTATTTTATTTTCTCTTAAACTGAAAGTTTTGAAATCTATAATTTATAGCATATATAATTTATTAACAATGCAAAACCATTTTGAATTTTAAAATGTATGTAAATTATTTTAATCAAAATATTGTGTAAAATTGCTTTCATCCAGAAACAGATGATTCATGTCTTTATTTCTTTCTAGCTACTTAGGAAGCTGAGATCTGATGATCCAGATTCAAACCTAGCCCGGGCAGGAAAGTCTTTGAGATTATCTCCACAAGAGTATCTAAATAACTGGAAATGGATAGGTGGGCCAGGGGATAGAGCCCTAGCTTTGACTAAAAAGAAGCTCAGGGACAATGCTCAGGTCCTAAGTTCAAATGCCTGGAGTAGCACACATACAATAAAAGATAGATGCATTGTATTTTAGAAAATTATTTTTAAAAAACTTTAAAAATTATATGAAAGTTGAAAATCGCAATTCACCGGAGCATTTTTTAATTTTCAAGAATATTTTGTACCTATAATATAATCTTTTATAAATTAATCTAATCAAAGGTATATGAATCAGTATGCTTCTTACAGAGGTTTTGTATATATATATATACATATATATATATATATAGTTACACATACACATAAAAAACTTTTAAAAATTTATATACTAAAGATAATAATTAAGGGAAATGTTTAATAAATGACTAATATAGGCATTAAATCACAGAACTAAATGTTATGTTGGACAACTATATATTCTTGCCTCTATAGCATTATTTGAGATAAAGTTTAGTATCGCTCCTATGGATAATACACTAGCATATAGGTATAAAACAATAGAAGGATTCTAATTATCACATAGGAACCCTTGATTGGTTTATGAAAAAATATTTAAAGTATTTATGTATTTCCCTGAGATTCTGTATTTAAATCATTGTGAAATTATATTTTGTGGTTCTTTCTGCTTCAATGTGCGAATGATTTTTACCTCTCTCAAATTAGCCCCATTGATAAAGAATGGTGAGCTTATCATCATCTATGACCAAAGTAACCAGAATTGGCACACTAGCTCCCACACAGTTGGTAGAAGAGTTGCTTTTTTTTTGTTTTGTTTTGCAAAGATTGCTTCTAGTTTCAAAAACTTTTCAAACTAATTTTCATCTTCTACCTCTCTATCATTTTTACTATGAATAAAACTTCATAAAATCACCATCACCCTAGCAACTGAACGTGTCGACGGTGACATGTCACAATAATGATGATTAGAGAATAGAATTTTTATTTTCCTTGCCAAAATTATGTTTCCCTTATTTAGAAAAATACATAGGTGTTAAAAAGTAACATTATATTTACAGTAAGAAAGTCTATCATTTTGCTTACCTTTAATAATGTTGGGCTTTGGTGGCATGCTGAACTCATAAACTGTTGGCTCAGAATATCCCAATCTATTGGCAGCTGTAATTTGAACTTCATATCCCATAGTCCACTGTAGATGTTCCAAAATAATATGGTCTTTATTTCCTTGCACTTTTTTCTCTAGCCACTGGTCTTCCTTGTCTTTCTGCACAGAAGACAAAATATTTTGTAAATATTGATATGCTAAAGAGGAAAGTTTAACAATTGGAATCTCATGAGCACTTAATTGCCACCAATGTTCTTATGTGAACTTGCTATTTTAATTAACACAGCTTAATTTCTAACATTTGTTTACATACAAATTTCAATGCCTGTGTTAGCCTGAGAATGGTGATTTTATAATAAATTTTTAGTCATTTAGAGGTTTATAATTTACATCTGTAAGTTGTATTTATTATTTTATCAACTAGGATATTTTTATCATTTTGTGGATTGTTAATGAAAATCTGTTCATTAAAATTATCACCAGGTACAATTATTAAAGTTTATTGGAACAGAAAATGTCTAAGAAGTAATGTCTAGTAATAATTTAAGGATTTAAATTAATATGGTTTCTTTATTATTGTAATACTTAATGGCTTGTAACAAAACATTGTACCAGGAAAATTTAGCATAGGAAAATTAATAGTATTATCTTACCATTGAACATTTGATACTTCAACACCGATACTTCTAAATAAGAGTTTTCTAGCAAATGATATGTGAATTTATTTTTAAGCATTTGAGGGAGGTATCTTTAACACAATAGTATTAAGAGATGAATAGAAAGAGAAAGAAGGGCATTTCCTTATCTTCCAGACATGAAAATTGGAGTTAAAAACAAAATGGCAGCTGTTGCCTGATACTAGTATTTTTTCTGAGCGGAAGAATACATGAAGTAATGTCTTCTAGTAACTTCTAGCCATTAGATGAAGACTCCCTGTGGCCAAGGTGGGTTATATTTATCATGTTAAAATATAGAGGTGTAGCTGAACCTCCCAAAATATAAGGACTGCATGTGAGTTTTAGCGTTTCCTCTATTATTAACAAGGGAAAGGTAGATGATAATAAAATGAGGTAAGTAAAACCTGTCAGTAAATTACATGCACCCAAAATCCTTCTTGCCACAAGAGAACAAATTGATTGGAAAAAAAATAAAGCCCATTTCTGGAATTCATGAAATCCATTGGGTGCATTTTCTAAAATGACCCAATGGAAAATAACAAAATTTAATTAAAGATGAGAGAGAAGTGTGCGCCCCCAGTACTGAGCAATTGAGGAGTGTGGGAAAGGATCCACACACTAGGAGGGTAATACAGTCATGTGTATGCCTGCTTGCCAGACACCTTAGTGTACAAGTTCAACAATAAAGTCTCTACTGTTCTGCACTTTTTATCTCTGAGCTCATTTTCTGAGTTTGGAAAGGAGAGTTTGCTTCCACTCATTTGGTACATTTCTTGAGAGAATAATGAGAAAAAGCAATTAAAATTGGACATTCCTCCTTAATATTCAAACCACTTTTAGACTTTATTAAGACAAAAGTAATTCTACAATGGAAGCCACTAATGTATTTGATAATAAATCACCATAAGTCCAAATCATGCCTTCCCAAGGCATAGCTGTACATGAAACATAGCCTGAATTTAGTAACATACAAAAATGTTTGCTTTAATTTTGTATCAAAATACGATATTATCCTCTTTTGAAGTAAATTTTCACAATGCTTCTTTACTATGAAAAATAACAATGTTTTCTAGCTATGATAAATTTTGAATTTTAATTATCTAAAATCAAATATGGATATTAAATCACAAATTCATTAAATTGACCTATTAAAATAGGAACATTCTTTGGAAGGAGAAAAGAAGAAATTGTGGTTTTGATAGCAAACCATTATTGTTATCTAGTTTTGGTGACATAAAACTTTCATTACTAAAGAAATAGGTTTAATTAGGTCTTCCATCTGAAATGGAAGATTAAAAACACTTCTAACAAAGCTCTAACAAATCTCTGTTTTGACAAGCAATTCATGCTATTATATAAAAGGCTCTTCTCTTATTTTTTGAAATGCATAAGTGGAAACATCTGTCAGAGCACTAAAATATTATGAGGTATACTAGAAAGGCCATGGGAAAACTGAGAAGAGAATCTGTAACCTATCTAAGTAACAGAGTGAAGAGCAAAGTTAATGAATGAAACCGTGCTATCAATGAGGAATGGCTGTGTTAAATAGCCAAGATTCACCCATCCCAACACCAATATCCTCTTTCCATAACTACCCACTCATTCAACATTTGTTAATACTTCCTTGGGTAATGATGCTGTTCTAGTTACTACTAACACAGTACTGAGAAAGCCATGTCCAACATCCTCATCTTGGGGCTGATAAATTAACATAGAAGAATGTTATGGGTTTTGGGGGTGTAGGGGGAAGCAAGTGTAATGATGGCCAGGAATAGACACAACCGAATTCAGTGGTAAGGAAAGCCTCATAAGTAAGTGATGTCACCTTGACAAAGGTAATACACTCTGGTGCATTTTTTCCTGGTCAATAACAGTGTATGAGTTTTTCATGGACTTTTGTCTATCAGAACAAACACAATGACTTTGTCTTTGAAAAAAGAGCTATTCCTCATTGTATCAACCACACTCATGGGGAAATCTCTGGCTTAGAATCTGTGACTATGGGGAGTCTTAAAAAACTACAGAGAAAGAGACTAAACAGCTTTAAATTAGATGATTAGGAGAAGCCTACTAATGGGTATATCATGGCCTCCAATTCCTAGGCCATCTCCCTATGCTACCTGGATACTGTCACCAGGTGTTCCCATTATGATGCTCGATCTCATCCCAGCCTCAAAAGCCACTGACCAGCTGATGCTGAAGTCTCTGAAACCACCTGGCAGAATAAACAATTCTTCCTTATCAATTGTTTATATCTCAGGTATTTTGTCAGTGATGAAAAACTAACAAACTTCATGTTCCTGTTATCTGAAGTGTATTTAAACATTTGCTAATGACTAAAGACAGGGGCACAGACAGTCAGGTGCTGCATGTCTTTTGGGTCAGCATCATTCTCTCCACATCCTAGGATACTATATGGAGCAGTGGAGTGTAATCTGTGAGTAAAATCTAGGTATAAACAAAGTTGAATTTCATTTTAAATCTGACTGGTGATAGATGTGAGAGAAACATTGAGTTGAGATCAGCATTGCCTCCAGGTAAGATAAAATTTATTCCTAAGTAGTACAGATAACTTTTTGTCCTTCATGTAATTCTGCAGAAATATCTTTTCTGATAATTGACCAATTTTAGGTGAAACAACTGATCTTCCAAAAATACTATTTCTGAGAATTGAGTATTTGAGGTAAAACCCTTTGACAAGCACAAAACATACTGTGATTGTCTTCTGAATTAACTATAATTTAGCTCTTAATTCCAGAAACTCTTTACATGGTATATTAAAAATTCCTCCATCGAGTGAGGGAATTGTGTCATTGCCCAAAAGAGAAATGTACTCTTTACCTGACTTATGTAAATGTAATCTGTTCATGGTAACCACATTTTTTAAAGAGGAAAAATGACAAAATAATTCCTCCATCAATTTATACTGATAGTGTAAGAAACCAGTGAGAATTTGAATGCTTCTAAAATACAGATCAATTTCATTTTTCATTCAACTTTAGACAAAGGTATTTCATTCTCCTAGTTGCTATTCCTAGGGAATAGAAAAAAAATTCAATTGGGTGTTACCAAATAATTCCCTAGGTATAAAAATCTCAATTAGGCATTTATGGAGTGCCTAATTTAGATAATTTAAATGCCCAGGGAACAATTCAAGATAACTAGTCACAAATCGTTCCCCTAGGTAACTTAATGAGAAGATTTGCTGAATAGGATTATTATTAATAAGCCCATTAAATGTTGAAGGACAGCTACTGAAAAATGATACTTTTGCTTTGGCATGGTTTTAATAAGTCAATCTTTTTAAAATCAGAAATCAGCAGAACCATAGAAAATTAACAATTATGAATAATGAGTCAAGTCACAATATGAGCATATGGATTTCCTACCATTTTGTAGGAAAGGAGTAAGAGCATAAGTGAAAAAAATCATACTTTTTAAAACTTGCAAAGCCATCCTAAATAACTAATATTCATCCATTGACTTGGTTTCCAAGGCTTTATAGAATGTATAGCCAACAATCTGTGAAATAATACACTCAAGAATTCAATGTGTGTGCTACAAAATTCAGATGCATAAGGGAAGGGGTGGGTTGTGAGAGATGTGTGAGAATGTTGATGGGGGTGATGTTGATCGAGATGCACTGAGCTCATGACCTACACTGTTAAATGGCAACTCCTCCATAAACTCGTTAAAGGTAAAAAGGTAAATTATTATAAAATGAAATGAAATACAATAGAATATATGAGCTTGTAATAACTGGATGCTGTTTATTTTTATGACTCCTATGTTGTATGATTTAAAAGTATTTATGAATATAAAGAAATAGTAGGATTTCTGGATTTCTGAGTACCATGGTCTACATATTTGAGATATTTGCTATAAACCTTATAGAAGTTAGATATTTGCTATAAACCTTTTTGTTCTTTTTCTTTTTTTAATTGTGAAAATACCATATAGAGGGGTTAAAATTACATGAGCAAGGTAATGAGTACAATTCTTATCAAGCATTTTTGCCTCCTCCCTTGTGTCCCCTTCCCATCCCTTCCCATCTTCCCACCCCCCCCTCCACCCTTCCCACCCACACACCAAAGTTGTAAAGTTCATTTTTTGACATAATGTCTTGTACATCTCATTGTTGCAATGGGTCCACCTGTATCCCTATTTAAACAATTTCCCTTCCCCTCCACAAATTATACCAACATCAAATACAGTGAAAACAGGAGTTATAACCGTGGGGGAAGGACATACAAAGCAACAAAGAAATCGTCTTATAAATATGTTAGAAACAATAGCAAGAAAGAAAAACCATTTGAGTTCTTAACTTGGGCTTCATTTCGCCTAACATCAACTTTTCTGACCATTTCTGTTTGTCTCAGACATATAGTAGTTATTGCAAATAAGGGAAACCATGGGACCTATGTTTCTTTGGGCCTGGCTTACTTCATTTAATATAATTTTTTAAGTCTTTCCATTTCCTAACAAATGGGGCAATGTCATTCCTTCTCATGGAAGCATAGAATTCCATTGTGTATATATGCCATATTTCCTTGATCCATTTATCTACTGAAGGGCATCTGGGTTGGTTCCATATCTTAGCTATGGTAAATAATGTTGCAATAAACATAGTTGTGCTGGTAGCTTTAGTATGGTCTTGTTTGTGATCGTTTGGGTAAATTGCAAAAGTGGGATTGCTGGGTCATAGGGGAGCTCTATGTGGAGTCTTTTGAGGAACCTCCATACTGCTTTCCAAAATGGTTGAATAAGTTTACACTCCCACCAACAATGCAGTAAGGTTCCCTTCTGTCAACATACCCTCCAGCATCCATTGTTATTAGAACTCTTGATTATAGCCATTCTAATGAAGAAATGCTCAACCTCCCTAGCCATAAAAGAAATGCAAATCATAACAACATTGAGATACCACCTCACCCCAGTGAGAATGACTATAATCAAGATATTTGCTATAAACCTTATAATATGAACTTTTCTATCACTCAACTTATTATTCAGTATGTGTGTGTATTTTCATATATATATTATATATCAGAAAGACATACTTCTTGAGATTTGGGAACATTTAGGGCTTAGAAGATATTAGCTGAAAAATTAAAAGTATATATTATTTTTCCCTTATTATATCTCACTAAATTTGACTTTGCTTCTCTGGCCTGGTTTAAGCTGAGCCTCATATATTTTGCTCATAACCCTCATTGCCCACATACACTAAAGGGAATATATAAATCTAATTTTTCATGGTCAGCACCTCTATACTCTCGCAACCATAATAATATGTAACAGACCAAGTTACCTTTTTCATAGTTCACATTAAACTATTTTTCCTGATAATCATTTTATTTGTATAACAATATGTATAACTATTTGTTGTAACTATTTGTTGATCTCCTTCTGTATTGATTGGCAGCTGTATGTTTTATCATTTAGGTATATATTCAGAAATATACTCTGTTCCAGGATGCGTAAAACATACCATTTTCTTTCACAGTAACAAAGAAGAGAAAAATTAAAAGAATCAGTGTTCTGTACTCTTTAACATATGTAGTTATTCACTGTACAAAAATATTTGATAGTCATATATATGTATATATACATGCACACTATGAAATTAATAACTAGAAAACAAGTTCTCTAAATAGCCAAAACTAAATTTATAAAATATCTTAATATCCTACTGAAAATTGCCACTCATGTTTCTGTTTCTATTGATATAATATAAAATCTCCTAACTCCAAATGTCTGCAGAGGGAAAAGGAGACTTAGTATGTGCACTAGAACTACTGTTGCTGGTCCCTAAAGTAATTTCTCTAAAATTGATTTTAAGCTACCAAGTTTATTCAGCTAATTTTTAGCTCATGAAATAGACCACCATTATTATACAATACCCATGATTCCACATCTATAATCAAACTCGAGAAAAAGATATGAAAAACTAATAGAATTCTGTATTTTTCTGAGTATGTCTTGATTAATATGCTTATCTTTGTCTCCAAATGCAAGATTAAATCCCACAATTTTATTGTCAGACATACAATTTTCATGAAGTCCATAGAGACATTTAATTCTGTTTTATTACTGTAGCTGTGTTCTAACAAATTCTGTCTTCATAATGGATGAGTGAACAACACTCTGTGCTCTATTAAAAGATAACTTTAAGATTATGTATGCAGTTAGTTTATAAGTTATAGGAAGTTATGTGCATAGTAACATAGAAGTGTTATATTCTTCTGTCTGTGATACAGTGTCTGCAAAAATAAAAACAACAGGTAAACAGGAATATACAAGGCTCTGCTTTGTTGCTCTCAGAATACACAAAGAAAAACATAGAGGAATTTGGTAGCCAGTTAAAACTACATTCTAAGACCTAAAAGTAGAAGACAGACTGCTGAAGAGGAAGTTGACCAGGAAGAAGTGGAAGAAAGAAAATGGAAAGAGGTAATGAAAGATTGAATATATGATCCAAATATGTTATTGCACATATAAAAATATCATAATAAAGCCTATTATTTTGTTTAATCAATACACGCTAAGACCATGTTTAAAGTAGACTGTGTCATGCTGAATAATTTTCAACTTATCTAGTTTCTCTTTGCTTCATTGTAGAATTGGTGAAACTTGAGAAACTAATAGACACAGTGCTTTGGAATCTTAGAAGAGATGATCCTAAATACTACTGAAAAAATATTAAATGGAAAATGAAGCATGGCAAACAAAACATTATTATAAGCATTTCATATTAAATATTCTTGATAAATCACATTTTAAATATAAAGAAAGGAAATAAGGACAGAGTATTTCTTCCCAAATTCAGCTATTTAGTTAACATTAAGGTAATAGTTAATAATTGTGTAAGTCAAGTAAGACTGTAAGACCATGATGCAGGCAGTTTGACAAAGGGGACAAAGGGAGCAGGGATAAGTAAATCAGATAATGTTTAGAAGCAGAAGGTCTAGTACATCATGCTAACTGTAAGAAGACAATGTGCCAGATGGCTATATTTGGAGGCATAGGTCCTGAGTAGCAGAGATGTGTTGGAATAGTTTTAGGGGTCGATAACTTTATTTAGTCCCCTCTTGCTATAAACTGAGGCTTTACAGTTTTATATTCTTGTAAGACTTTACTTCCCATTAAGTCACCCAGATTTTCAAAATTTCAGTTTGCCCATCGAAAAAATATAAAAATATATCACTTTCATAATTTGATTATTACTAGGGTTTTGAGTAAATTTATAGTGTTACATTCCTGATAAATATGCATGCTATGTACAATAGTTTTCTTAGTTTCTAAATTTTACTGTTAGCTAACTAGAAATAAAATTACTACTGGAAAAATATTATGATAGTCTTGAGTTTTTCATGATTTCTTAATAAAAAAAAACACTAATGAACTGAAAGTTACACAAAAATAAATACCACTATTCAATTAATTAAAGTCTCCTTGTGAGGTTTATTTTTTATTATTTCCTTAGAATGTCTAAGTATTTACCAGTATTTTGTACTGTAAATTCTTCTGCACATGCTAGTCACAGGTTAGATTCTAAATAGTAGTGCATCTTCTAATCTAATTCAAGAACTGATTCGAGCTTATGTCCCTTAGAGACGCTCTATACTCCATAATGTTTCAAAAGAGCAAAATGTGAATAGTTTAAAACTGGTCCTAAGAGTCAGTTCCTTCCTCTCTCAGTTCCTGTGAGAACCTAAAGAAGAGGTTTTGGTTGGGCCAGAGCGTGAGGCCTGCACAGTAGTATCCAAAAGACACATATAGCTATTTATTGCTAGCATGCAAGCTGAGAGAAAAAGTTGTCATACAAAAGGAACATTAGTATTAAATTGAAAAGACTGAAGTGATATGTAAGGTTACTTTTTGAATTGTGAAGTTAAGATCATATTCCCTTTTAATTACTCCGGACAATTTAGATGCTTGAATTTAGAAACAGCAATATTATAGAAAATTGTAAATGTTAAGAAAATACCCAAAATATCTGTATGCCAGAATTATCTTAGCATATTTTATAGTAGATATATTTTTGGAAAGTTTTGAGGAGAAATTATTTTCCTTAGCATCATCTTCAGAGAAAGTAGCAAAGTTAACAGGGAAACTTTATTAATCATTTTTGCAACCTGTAAACATCATTCTCTCTCCAGACCTATCCAAAGAAACCAGGAGGCTCTTACTAGAGTCTCTTACTCACTAAAGATAAATATTAAAAATTAAAAAAACTATTTCCTTTTCATAAAATACTCAGTAGTTACTTTCCTTAAATGTGAAGGCTAAATCAATCTTACAGTGTAATCCTGATATCTTAAATATGATATTTAAAATAATCCTACCTAAAGTAATTATGATGGTTAAGAAGGATTATATTTGAGTTGCTAATGATGAATGAAAATGCTAATAAAAAATAACATGTAAAACTTTTTTTAAAAAACTAGGGAAAATGGTACTTAACTCTGACATGCTTAAAAGTTGTGCCTCACACCTGCAAACCATCAGATGGAAGCCTCGATATTGTTTTGTTGTTTTATGCTTAGATTTTTTGCAAAAAAGAGAATAACATTATAATTTATAAAGTTGAAATTCAGGAATGGCTGATTAGTACTCACCACTGGTGTTAGTGAAGACACATTCACTCCTGATCTATTTAGAAACTCAATAGGCCACTTAATCTCCTAATATAATTGGGAAATGTGGTTAAAAAATCAAGCCATAAGAAAAATACTTACACTTCTGTATTTCACAATGTATTCCAAAATAGGAGCCCCTCCATCATCCTGCTTGGTAATACTGAGTTTAAAGCTCTTCCCACTGCTTGGCTGTCCATGAATGGATGGAGGGCTTGGCTCACCTAGATGGAACACAACATTTCTTTGTTTATACTTATTTTACATACCTATGAACTGTATTGTAATACAAAGAGCCCTATCATGTCATCAAAATAGATGACATTACATTATGCACGTTACAAGCTATATGAATAACTTTTGGAGTAACAAGCCAAATTAGTGTAATTTCAAGACCTAATATATTGTTTATATTGATGTTCCAATGCACTGAGTACAGCGCTGAGTTGTTCAAGACCAAACTTTAATTTTTATTATTCGGAATGCTTTTTAAATCCTATTTTCCTTATTGATGTAAGTTTTGTAGCTATCTTGTGAGCATTATTAAAAGTATGTTGACACATCAAATTATAGTTATTGTAACTAAGAGCAAAGGTAATGGCTAGTCATTAGCTATCTGCTCGAATGAACATTTTCATGCCAAGATGTAGGTTTCAATAAAGTTTGTTATACTCATTAACTTTTGACCATACTGGCCTTTGCTTCACACAGAGATGGCCTTATCACATATATGCTGATGTCATAAACATGCACTGAAGTTAAGAATTGTCTACTGCTACTTAGCAACAGAATTAGAATTCCCTGATGAGAGCCACTGTTGTGACTTGCTTAATCTGGTGTGACATCTGACTGTATTGGCTCCAACTGTACAAAAAATGGGGAAGTGGCATGTGTATGAGTGTGGATAAGGACATCACACACAAAAACCCTAGTCTGCAATGTTTTAGAAAAGGGTAACAGCCTACTTGGAGGCAAAAACAAGGCAGACAATCTAAGTGCAATAAAGTTTCTGAGAATGATCCTAGATTATACTAGGCAAAGTTACTTTTATTTCTGATACAGTGCTCATAAATGTACACAAGTACAGAATATGCTGGCAGAAAAGAAATATAAGGTAGAGCTATGTAAAAGTAATGAATACAGGAGTGCTAGATTGTTGTGCAACAAAGTTAAGTGAGCATCCAGATCTGATCTAATGCATGTAATAACACATTTTGAATAAATAAATTAATATTTGCCCCAAAGTATCACTTATTAACTCATGAAACTACTTAATTACGTTGTTGGAGAATCAAAACTTTATAAAATGCTGTATTTGAAGCTCAGCATAAGTGTTAAATTTTGCTTAGAATGTTCTTATTTTACAATATAAATTCAGTTAACAATAGTACTGTATTCATAGTTATATTACTTCAGTAACAGAATTTATAGATAGAAACTATAAATGTGTGTATATATGTATACATTTAAACTTCAGTGTATATCAAGTTTGTTACCCTGTTTTAATTGATATTCACTTTGAAAAAATAAAATTCAGCACAAATCTTATGACTTTTTTAGTGGAGAGAAACATAAAACTAATATTTTTTATTTGCTTTCACAATAGCATATTTATATAAAAGTTACCATTTCAAAATAACCACTAGTCATATAAATTAGTGTATGGTAACTACTTTGCATACATTCTTAAATTTCAACTTCAAAATAATCACCTAGGTATTTTTATAAAAATAGAGGACTGGAGGTTTCCTTCAATGGTAGAGTTTTTGCTTACTATGGATGAGGGCCTAGCTCCATACCTAGTACCCCCGCCCCCCCCCACACACAAATAAGCTCACTACATCAACTACCAACTTGATCACTGTGTTGGGGAGGGGAGGAAAAGTCCACCTTAGCAAACTAAGAGAGCAGAAATATTACAATTTACAAAGGTCATATGAAGTAAAGAATGGTGATTTATAATTAAAAAAATCAAAATATGTGTTCTAAGAACAAATCAAGCAAGGTTTCTCTAAATGTGGGAGGATATAAAATAGGAGATGTTACCGGAAGTCTTATTGGTATGATCACACTTGCATAGAATGCACAGTTGTACTGGAAAGGGAATCAACATCTTCCAACCAGCCTCCCATTCACATGGTGGTGGAATTTAGGAGGACTGAGATATCAGGTGGACTGAGATACCAGGCTGACCAAGGTGTGTATAAATGGAAAGTAGGAAGGGGAGGTGGTATGGCTGACATTTGTTTTAAGTAGATAAGAAACAGATGGATTCAGGGAAGAAAGGAAAGATTAGTTGAGATGAAAGTATTTGGACAATCTGAAGGACTGAAAAAGCAAACATCAAAAAAAAATCATGTGGGTAATTGTAACCCCTCTGAACAGTATTTTCACAATTAAAAAAAAGAGTTGGGTAAATAAATTTTTAAAAAATCACATGGTAGATTATTTGTTGGTTTGTATGTTCCTCCCGTGGTATAACCCCTGTTTTCGCTGAATTTGATGTTGTTGCCCTGGATCTTGTATATACAATTCTATAATTCGAGGGGGGGAAGGGAAATAACAAAATGCCTAAAAAAGGATACAGGTTGACCCATTGTAACAATGAGATGTACAAAACACTATGATGAAAACGAACTTTACAACTTCAGGGGTGGGGGGGCAGGAAGGGGATAGCTGTGGGAGGGGAGAACCGTAGAGGTGGGAGGGAAGGGATAATGGTGGAAAACAAAGGAGGAGGCAACAATGCTCAATAGGAAATGTACTCATTACCTTGCTGGTGCAAATGTAACCCCTCTGTACAGCATTTTTACAATAAAAAACGTACAAAAAATTCAAAAATGAAAAAAAGCAAACTTCACTGGGAATGGGGAAAAGGGGATTCTTCTGACAGATGTTATAAAAACAAATAAAAAATAGTGCAATTTGAGTAAGATTTATTGTGCCTAATAAGGCTGCCTTGTCATGTGCATAAGCATGCTCAACTTTTATAACACTTTTCCACACATATTCATATTCTTACACACTCCTATTTATAAATTAGTCAGTCTAAATGAAACAAATCTTAAGATGTGTACCTTAACTTCATATAAATTTAACAGAGTTTCATGGCTTCAAACTGTGTAAAAAATAGTTAAATGAGTCATTTCTTCTCCTGAAGCAGTGATGTAAAGGGCTATCATTTTCCTTTTTCTTATGTTTCAGTCCCACATAATATTCATCCAACTCAAATAAAAAAAAATAGTCATTTCCTGGCATTGTTATCCTAGCTACTCAGAAGGGTGAGATATGAGGATTTCAGTTCAAAGCCAGCCCAGGCAGGAAAGTCTGTGAGAGCCTTATCTCTAATTAACCACCAGAAAACCAGAAGTGGAGCTACAGCACCATTCAAGTCTTGAGCTGAAAAGCTCAGAAATAGTACCCAGGCCCAGAATTCAAGCCACATGACCAACAATAAATAAATAAATAAATAAATAAATAAATAGTCATGCCACATAAAAGAAGAAAATACCAGATAGTATACATATGCTTTTTCTTCTACTCACTGAAGACAAATTGAAGGCTACAATGCAATTAATCAGACTATCAATTTTCTGAAAGTGTGCTTTTTAGTATATGATTCTATTTTACTTTTGTTCAATATATTTTTTATTGTAAAGATACTGTACAGAGGGGTTACAGTTATGTGAGTAAGGTAATGAGTACATTTCCTATGGAGCATTGTTACCCTTCCTTTGTTTTCCCCTACCATCCCTTCCCTCCCAATTTTTGCCTAGCACTAAAATAAATATATTTTTAGAGATCTGACCTGCCACCTTCTCTAGGAGCCATTCTAACAAAAGCATAAATCATTTCTCAAAAGTATAAACATATCTCTTTGCATTGAAAAATAACATTGAATTTAATTTGAAAGAGAAGAAAATGGCCAAAGAGAAAGAGGAAGATATAACTACTTACGAACTGGTAATGTCTGGAAGATTTCTATCTTGCTGTAATCTCCTTGTCCTTTTCCATTTACAGCTGCAACCCGGATTTCATAGGTTGTATTTGGTTCCAGGTTGCTCAAAACAACCATTGCTGTAAGAAAAACAATACATGCAACCACATTTAATAAACTTTAATAAACAGGTGGCTTATGCAAAACCTGAGTGAATAACTGCACAGAAAAGGTTTCCAGGGTTTAGCTGGAAGACAAAATAAAAAAGCCATTGGAAAAGGGAATACTTTGCCAAAACTGCCTTATTTTCCTCAAGATGAGCTTCCAACACTAAGCAAACAGTTTCAAAGAACAACATTCAAGGTTTCTTATGTAATATTTAGATTTAAAACTTTGGAGTGACTATGAATATTATTTTTCCCATGCTTTAAATGTTCAAGAAATAAGAATGATCGCATTAAAGTATATTTAATCTATGTATTCTGAACACTTTACCTACACTAAGTCAGCTAATTCTATATACTTTAATGGAATCATTAAATGAATTTGATTAATTCGAACAAAAGAGACAAAATGTAATAGCCATTAATTTTTACTTTTCTTTGGATCTTTTTTGTCTGCCATGTTAGTTTTACAACAAAGGTTCACTGTAACATTTACTTACATACAAATATTGTACTCGAACTAATACCTTTCAGTTCTCTTGATCATCTCTACTGCCCATCTTAAAATAATTTCAACAGGCTTCATTATTTTATTTCACACAGCCTAATAAATTACTCTAGCCATATTCACATTGACCGTCCCCATCCTGCTGATAAGTATCCACTTGTTTTATTTTCCTGTCATTTACTTTCTTTCTTACTTTCATTGTTAGCATGTATTAATTATATGAAATAGATTGGCATAGCAATTATTACTGTGTGCCATATTACAACAGAATCAGATTACTCTCATCTAGAAAGCACATGATTTTTATTAGAAATAAAATTCCTCTTAAATCAGAAATGTGGAGATTGTGTTCTGGGTCTGCTCTTTTCATCTTTAGAGGATGAAAAATTGGTAATCATATAGCTATTAAACAATTAGAAGAACATTAATTTTAATAATGGATTAAATAATAATAATACCCTTCATCTAAAAATTTACATTTTAAATGAATTCTTTGTATATTTCAGGCCTTAGCTCTTTCTGTTCAGCTGAGGATCAGCATTATATTTTTTTTCAATATCAAGATTCTCCTGTGAATGGAGTTTCATATCTGAGCCATTCATCGGGGAAAAGAGCAGATAGAGGAAAATAAAGTCAGGAATGTTATTACAACTCTTGACTCTAACACACCAGGGTAAGGGAGGTGAATAGAGAGGGCTGTTAGATGAACTTCCCAATTACAGGGATAGGTACGAAAGTCAACCTTTCATTTAAAAAGTTTGTTCACACAACATGAATTTGTTTTTTTTCAGTTCTGACTACAACGGTCTTGGTACAATACCTTTATTAAGAAGTACATTGACATTCTGTTTAAATAAAGATTATTATGTGATAGAAAGAACCCCTTACAGGGTCCAAATTAGAGAGGGAAAAGGGGGAATTTCAGGAGAGGCAAATCTGGATCTATAATTTGACTTTCATTTAAAAAAAATAAGAAGATATATACATTAAGCCATCCACAATTACTGGAATGTTAACAAAAGCAGGGTTTTTGAACACCTAAGGTGGGGATTTAAAGCAAATTACCACTTGAAACATGGGAGGTTGTGTACTCTATAATAGATCATTCCTCAAATTAGGAAGTTAGCTAATGGAAGAATAGAAGTACAAACTGAAGTGTAGGATGGGTTCTTTCCCCTATAATTTATTAGAAATTCAGACTTAGAAATTAGGTATAAGTAAAGCTAGATTACAAAGTAGTAAATGTTCTCTCAGGACAAATTCTATAATGGATACATTTTACATCTTCATTAAGTCAGCATGATTTGGAAATCGCAAGGTAACCTTTCAAAAACTTAAACAATCATGTATTTTTCTTTGTTGTGGCAACAAGTAGGAGTTCTATACAGAACCTTGTTTCTGTTACTTGTTTTGTGTTTCTGCTTGATTTAAATATGAAAGCTTCATAAACTGGTTTTGGTTTATAAATGTAAAATCCTGACCATAAATGCAAATTACACATTAAAATAATGACATGCAAATTGATAAATGAAAGGAAATTGCACTCTTCCACCTTGTTTCCACAAATGTGTAAATGACAGGAAAGAGAAAGATGAAACAAACAGTATTATTGCATAAAAGAATCTGATTATCACAAGGACTTGAAATAAGTTTCTGTTTGCTTAGATAATGTACTTTTAATCCCTTGAGTATTCACAGATGCACCACACGAAATTTCTTATGTGGTAATTAGCTAGGCTAAATAAAATTCTAAAGCAAGATTAAATTTATCCATGGCTTCTTTGCTGTTTTAATTCTTGGAAGGCTCTAAGGGTTTTTCCCATGATCAATGTGAGCGGATAAGCCCTTGTCCGGGTGGACCTTTTGTACCACGGACTTAGAATGAAACAAATCAGGAAGCCAAAAAGGATGAAACAATTCCAACAGCAATGAGAAATCATAAACCTTAGCTTCAGTAGAACTGTTCATTCAAAATTTCGAATTTTAATCTCATCAGATACATCTGAAAATTCAATTAAATCCCTACAGTTTTCTAGCTAAGAAGCAGACTTTGTTCTGTAAAACATTAAAACAAGCCAAAACAAGTTTTACAATTTTGTTTCATTCCATTGGAGAAATTAATTTTTCTGAAACAATTTCCAATAGGTATGAATAATGATAAAAATATTTATGCACCTATACACACATCTATACACACTATATATCTATAAATAAATATATAATACATTTCATATAATATATGTTATATACATGGAATGTGTGTAGGTACATTATTATTTGAAGTGTCTGTTTTCTTCACAACTTTATGTAAATAATCTCAGTTCAATGATTTCCATCTACTTTGTAATTTAAGTGTGCATTTTGCATTATAATCATTAATTATAGTATCTAGTTCCCAAGAGTTGTATAAAAATGCAATTGCATCTAAATAAAAAGTATTTTAGGTTTTTTATGAGTCCTAATATACAACATGTATAATAGAGAAATTGACATAATAACATTTATATGTATTTCCAAATTAAATAATCAATTTATATATTTTTTTCCTAAACCATAGGAAATTATGATATTTTTTTCAAGTACTTGATTACAGAAATTAAATATCACAATTCAGAACTTCTGGATTTTCAGTATTTATACTAGGGACTTGGGCTATTTGCTAATATACATTATGAATAATAACACAAAGTAAATTAATTTATAACAAGAAAAACATTACATCTTGAAATTAAATTACCGTAACTGATATATAAAGTTGTTCTTAAAACTATTCCTGAAAACTTTTCCAACTAATAAATTGCTTCATAAATACTATGTTATTTTTTCATTTCAGGATTTTCTATCCTAAAAAACTTATTTAATAAATAAGAGCTCAAATAGTACAATACTTTAAGCTTCTGATCGTACAGAATATAGGGTTGGCATAATCCTTAACTAAGGAATGCCTCTATTCGTCAACTAAAAGAACAGATTTTCAGGAAATTCTCCATGTCTTGGTGGTTGAATGCTTCACAAAATGGTTAGTATTAATTTTTAATCATGACTCTTGCCCTTTAGAAGAAGGAAATCAGAGAAAACCAGACTCTTGCTTAGACAATTGGTTTAGCACCTTTATCAGTGAAACACACAGATACCACCTCAATTTGATAAAAACCTAGGCTTTTTATCTCATTGTTAATTTATGTATTCCTCATTTGTCTAAGACATCCTAAAAATGTGACTTACTGTCACTTTCAATGGTATCTATAGCATTACTTGCTGATTACTTAAAATTTAATCTTTCTTTATGGGTGTTCCTTTCTTTCTTTGTCTATTTTCTATCTTTTGGGGACCTCACAAGATTTTCCGTTAATGTATTATTAAGTCAATACAGTGTTTTCCACTTTGCACCCCAATAGTTTTCAAGTTTCTACTAGTTGGAAGAGTTTCAAAGCTCCTTCCATATTTTCAGGTATTTGTTATAAGTGTACATCTGCATTTATCACTTCTTCTCCTGATCAGTTTAAGGCCATAATCACAAAATATCATAGACCAAGTAGCTTATAAAAAGAAGACATTTATTTCTCCTAGGCTTGAGGTCTGCGAAAATCAAAATTCGAATTCCTGGACATTGGATTTATGATGAAGGCCTTTTATCACTCACTATGGGAAGGAGAAAGTCACATTTTGATGTCCTTTTCATGAAGGCCCTATTCCTATTCATGATGACTTTGAACTCAATACGTTAGCATTTCTCATGAACTCAATACGTTAGCATTTCTCAAGAACATTTCTAAATACTATCATATTGGCTAGTATATTTCCACACATGATTCTGAAGAGATAAAAATGCAACCAATAGCAGTTTTCTTCTAGAAGTTTTATCATTTACAATTATTACCCTTAAGTATCGAGTTGATTACCTTAGATATTAGATACCTGAATATTATACTGAATACATTTTCCCACTTCTTATCAGTCCAAATTTATACTATTCATCTTCATGAATATTTAGCACTTAGATATTGAGAAAATAAAGTTAAACTTATAGATCACAGGACCATGTAGTCACAGTAAAAATGTGAAGATGAGGGATTTCAAACAGTATTACATTTCACTGATTAATAAAGGTCTGATTCTTACAGAAAAGACATTAATAAACCACTTCTCCATATTTTACATTCTGAATAATTTATTTTGTCATTTTTGAGTGTTGAATTTATCAATACACTCCATATATCTCATTTAAAATTTACACTCACATGTCAAATAAAGAAGAATAAACTGTTTTCCCTATAATATTGATATTTTATACAATGGAATGAACCAAGTCTTGCAGTGATATTGGAAATTTCTTGGAATGATTAAGAATCAAAATTAGTGCATGTGTACATAATTGGCCCAAATTTTGTTTGTTTATTTGTATTTAAATATAAGCATTTTCTCTCTTTAATTTTCAGGAAGTCATACTGATATTTCTTTGGAAACT